TAGCTTGGCTTTCAAGGTCTGGTTTGCTCACTCAACAATGGCTTGTCCTGTGCTATTGTACAGGATGCCTTGCACCAGAGTGATACCCCATCTGGAGGTGAATTCCCGGCTCAGCTTTGAGATAAAATTTGCGCCATTGTCTGTTTTGATTTGCTTAGGGATGTCAAGCCAATGTTAGCCAATGCTGGATAGTTGCTTTGGAGTTGGTTTTCAGGTGCTGCGTGGCTACAATTATTCTGCTGTATGTATCCACTGTTACTGCAAGCCATGCTCGGGGTTTCAACAGCTGGCATAATGTAAAGTCTGTTTGCCATATCTCTGAGGCTTTAAGGCCTCTGGGGTTGATTCCACAGGACCACAACAGTGCTTTTTGGCAGTGAGGGCATGAAGCTACTACATGTTTTGCATCAGCAACTGAGATTTCACATCTCTTTGCTAGTGCTTTGGCTCCGATGTGCAGGGTTTCGTGTAGTTGACGACCTTCTTGTAGAGTCCACAATCCTTTTGCGGCAGCATCTGCTTTTTCATTACCGACTTGGAAGAGCCCTTTGACCAGATCGTGGCTGTTGATGTGGATGACCGATATGCTACCTTTTCGAGAGGAGAGTGCTTCTTCTAGCATTAGAGCTGCTGTAGATGTCGATATGCCGGGTCCTGACATAGCCAGGCAAAGCTTGGCTACAAACATTGAATCAGTTACAATGTTAAGATGCTCTGTTTGGAACAGTCTGCATGCCAGTACTACAGCTGCTACTTCCAGTTGCTGGACTGAGAGTTTGCAATCAGTCGCTTTGATGCAGTGCCACTCCTCCTCCAATTGCCACACCGCAGCTGCAGTGGAGGTTATCGAGGATGCATCTGTGAAGACTGTTGGTCCTGGCTGGGGCCAGTCTATGACCTTTTGTGGGAGGTCCATGTCAACAACAGCCAGCATCTGAGTCCAAGGGGGCTTTGCAGAATACTGAATCTCTCTGCCGAACCCAACCAGGGCTGTTGCCAGGTATTCCGACATCACTGTTGACTGTGTCAAAAGTTGCTTGCAGAAAGGCAGGTATATTTTGGCTGGCTCAATGCCAAGGTGTCTCAGGGCAAGTTTTCTGCCTTTCATAATGAGGCTGCTGAGGTATTCAGCTCCTGGGGAAAATGCACGTGCCTGTTTTCCCAGGACTATCCACTGTATTGGGTGAGCTTTCTCTGGGGAGCCTTGAGCCAGTGCTCTTACTCCCCCTCCCTTCATGAAATGCACATACAGATTGAGTGGTACCTGGGTCTTCCATCTGGTGAGGGAACTTAAAGATACCTGTTGTTTGATAAAGTCAAGAGAGTTCATTGCTTCCGCTGTCAGGGCTTTGTGTTCTCATGGATTCTTCCCTCTTAGGAAATCATACAGGGGGGCCATCTTCTCAGGTGGGATTAGGACGATGTTGCGGAGCCATTGCAGGGATCCCACCAGCTGCTGCATGTCACAGAGTGTTTTGATGTCTCGACAGATCTTTATCTGGGGAGGGGATATGTAAGAGCCCATGATCCCCACCCCCAAAAAGGTTACACACGGCCCCTTTTTTATTTTCGCGCTCACGATTTCAAAGCCATTTGCTTTTAGAGTCTCTGTGATTGTTGACACTAACCGGTCTACCTGACCCCTTGAGGGCACGGCAATCAGGATGTCGTCCACATACTGGATGATGGTCGCAGTCGAGTTGCTATGGTGGATCAGTGCTAGCGCTCGATCGACTGTGATTTGGCAGATTGTAGGTGAGTTGACCATCCCCTGAGGCAGCACTTTCCACTGGAAGCGTAGGTTGGGGCGCTGGCTGTTTGGAAACACCACAGAGAAAGCAAACCGCTCTTTATCTTCTTCATGTAGGGGTATAGAAAAGAAACAGTCTTTGATATCCAGAACAGCACAGGGTTGGCCCTCTGGTACCATAGAGTTCATAGGTAACAGTGTTTGAACAGGCCCCATGGGTTGAATTTTCTTATTTACTTCACACGAATCGTGGAGGAGGCAAAACCCTTCTCTGGATCGTTTAGGGATTATGAAAACAGGAGTATTCCACGGGCTAGTAGATGGCTCTATATGACCTTGTTTAATTCACGGTTAACTCAAGAAGGGCATCTAATTGAGGCTTGGACAGGGGCCACTGCTCAACCCACACTGGGTCAGATGATTTCTAAGAAAGCCTGATTGGTGGCAGTGGGTACACAGCAGTGGCCCTCAGGGTAAATTCGTCACCCTGGCTTTTAGCAAAGCTAGGGCGTCTCTTCCTAGCAGGGCTGGGATTCCTGTCATGACACACGGGAAGAGGGCAATAGTTTTTTCTGGCCCTTTTTCTGTGTGGAGTGTAATGGCTATTAGCTGTGTGCTTCTCCGAGCTCGTGACAACCCTCCAACCCCGCCTACCATGGGGGCATCCTCTAGTTTCCAGAGTGGAGGCCAATTTGTCTCCGGAATGACTGTGACATCTGCCCCAGTATCAATTAGAAAAGGAACACTGATGGATCCAGAGGGGATACTTTGATCACTTGGGGTGTCATAAAGGGTACAGATTCCCCATACCACTGGCAGGTTGTCACACCTTACTGCCAGGGCCACCCTGGGGTCCTGTCCCCCAAGTGTGATCCCTGCTGTCCCTGAGGCAGATAAGGCAGGGTTGGCTGAGCAACCGGCTGAGTTATGAAAGTGGTCACCTCTCGGGGGGGTAATGGGTTCGGGAGCAGCTCAGTTCTTGCAGGATTGGCATAGCTGGGCTGCCTTGCATCCCAGGTGGGAGAGAACTGGATGTGGCCCTGCTGTCCTCTCCCCCCGCCCCGTTTCCCTGAGCCTTGGATCTGCATTCTCTGGCAAGGAGCCCCTTCTTCCCTCAAGCCCAGCATGGTCCTTTAAACTGGTTTTGCTGTGAGGTGGGCACTGCCAGGGCCCCCCCCTTTTTGCAATTTGCAGCAACATGACTTGCCTGACCGCATTTGAAACACGCCATCACGTTAGCAACTGCTGTGCAGACTGCAGTTTGAATCGGGGCTATCTGTTCCTCCCTCGCGACATGTTTAATCATCTCTGTGATACTTGCCCCTGCCGGTAGTGATCGGAGAATTTCCTTGGTTGTCAAATTGCATTGCTGTTGTAAGCAGTCTGCCATGACTGGGCCTTTTGCCTCTGGGGGCTGGGAAGAGGAGTGAACAGCTACCTGAAGGCGGTCTACAAATTGTGTAAAGCTCTCACTTCCATTTTGCTTCATGGTAGACCATGGTGATGGCTTAGCAATAACTCTAGAGGCCGAGCAAATAGCTTCTCTGGCCGCACGAGTGGTTGTCATAACTTCGTGGGCCCACAGACCCTGGGCTTGTGCCTGAGGTGTAACCATGGCTGGGTCTGTGCCCATTAACTGCGGCAAGCTGGAATCATGTAGTGGGTGGTCTGCCCCATTTATTTGGGCTAGGTATCTGGCACAGTTGTCTTCCCATTCTTGTTTAAAAACAATCATCCCTGCCCCATTGAAAAGCAATCTGCAAATGTGTTTTATATCAAAAGGGAGCAGGTCGTCACCTCCAAAAAGACCATCGATAAGGGAGGTGACCATGGCAGAATTAAGCCCTTTTTCTGAAACTGCTTTAACAATCGTTTTAACTTCTTTAGGATTTATTGGTGAATAAACCCTCTTCCCCCCCTCAGACACCCTGACTGGGAATACTAATGCATCTGGGGCAACCCAGGTGGCACATTATACTCTTATTTGTCCCCAGTCTGTGAGAGGGGTGTCCTCTCTCGGTTCTTTTTTAATCTGGGGGGGGATGTTCGTGTTTATCTTTATTGTTTCCTCTTCTGAGGACTCGGGCTCTGACCCTTCGTCGCTCGTATCTCGATCAGAGTCAGAGTTTGACTGGCTGGCCACTTCCTGTTTCCCGTGCCTTTTTCTTGGGCTATGGCCCTGCCTGCCACCCCTGCGGGCGGGCTGTTCCCTCCCTCCTGGTTCTCCATGTGTTCCACACTCCACTCGGCCCATCTTTCCTTCTGCCCTTCACTCCAGGCTCTGTTCTGCCCTCTGTCTCCCCCTCCTTCCACTGCCTTTGCATTCCAATCATTCTGTACCCATCCCCTGCTTTCTTCTACATATTTCTTATCTCTCCCAACCCCCCAGCCGTGCTCATCTCCCAAGGCCAGCTTTTGTTCTTTGTTAAAGACATTTTTTTTCCTGCTCTATAACTTTTTCCTCAGCGCCATCTTTAAGTCTTTGGGGGGATGTTTCTCCCCTTACTGTCTTTGCTACATTTCTGGCTTCTTCTGTTAAATTTTTCCAAAAATCTCTTGCTTTCTGTTGCCCTTCTGAGGGCAGCTCAGGGTTTGGGGTTTTAGGGGGCATATCGTCCTCCTGTGTCCCCTTCTGCTCAGCTGAGCTGCTCTCATCTGGAGGCTCTAAAGTTTGTGTTGTAGCACTGACTCCTAGTTGTAGCACTGACTCCTAGTTTTGGGGGTGACTAAGAGACAGTCTTCTACTGCCATCCAGGTTTCTTGCTTTTGTCTAGCTTTTTTCAAGGCCTTAATGACCTTACCCCAGGACTTAAAATGTTTCACATTACCAGAATCTACAGTTTCATTAGCCAGAGCTCTGGTACATTTCTCCCACACCTCAGGGTGCAGAATGTCCACTGGATGCTCTACAACATCGATTTGTAAAAGCTGTGTAACAGCAAGCATAAAATCCTTAGATTTACAGTCTACCCCCCACTGCTTATATAATTCAGATACGACCTTTATCAATGATTCCATCTTCCTTCTGGGCCCAGGATCTCTCTTGCCAAGATTAGTCCAGCTATCTTGGCCACTGCTCGGTGATCCAGGGAATCCTTGCTTTCTGGGTTCCTTGCCACGCTTCTTCCCACTTTTCTTCCTGGGTTTCGGGCACCAAATGATGGTTTTCAAGCAAGGCATACACCCTGGCCAGAGTCAGCACGGTGGCTTTCTCCTGCCACATGGACCATATCCCACAGCACCAATGTGATGGATGGCAAATATGGTGTTTATTGCAGGGGAATTTAACATTTTATAACCTAGGGTCATTGTGTTACTCCCATTTGCCTTCGTCACACCTGGGGTGCTATTGGCTAATTGCAGGAGGCTTTACTATCCTAGAGAGGGGGGTGGGTTGCTGGCTTTCTGTTACATCCCGAATTCTTCCGCAGTGCTTATGCCCTAAACTACAACAAGCCTGTGCAGAGGGTGTCCAGCAGGTACCACTCCTGATCCCTGGGCAGCTGGCCACCAGAGGTGTGGAGAAAGCACATCTGCCCCAGCAGCTGCTCCCCTGAGCACAGGCACTCCAGCACCACACGGATGCGCCTGGCTGGCGGCTGCTCTGTGCTCTCCGGGCTGAAGGAGTGGCCGAGGGGTGGCCGCAGGATGACCAGAGGGCAGTAGGTGCTGCTGTTCTCCTGGATGCTCCAGGCTTCAGAGCTGGTGCCTGTCCCGGTGGCTGGGTGCAGCTCTGGCATGAAGCTCCTCCGGGACAGCACTCGGCAGACACTGAGGAGCTCGTCCAACAGCTCCTTCAGCACCTTCGTGCTGAGTGGGTCCTGCTGCAGAATCACAGAAATACAGGAGAGTTGGTCTTGGGAGTGACCTTTAAAGGCCGTCCCGTGGGACCCTGAAGCGATGAGCAGGGACATTCCCAACTAGATCAGGTTGCTGACAGCCCACTCCAGCCTTACCCTGGATGTGCCCATTGGTGATGGGGTGGGCACAGCCAGAGTGCTGCCACCACTGTCTGCACCCTTGACTTTCTCCTCGTGCTCACTGACCTCCTTGCTGCCAGCCTTCTCCTCACTGTTGCCATTCTCCTTGCTGCTGGATCCCTCCTGCCTCCTGCTGCTGGCAGAGCGCCACTTCCATCTCCTGACCAGCCAGAAGGCCACAGACAGCAGAACAGCCTCAGTGAGCCAAGTAAGCCATGGCAGCTGCTGTGCGGAAAGGAACAGGCTTTTCATCGTGGAATTGTTCTCCTCAATTTCCTGTAGGAGCCGACTCATCTCCCGATGCAAAAATTCCTCACGCTCCTGCATCTGCTTGGCCACATCCTTATGAGTTTTTATGTCCACCTTCAGCCCACTGGGGGTAACTAACATGGCCAGGATGAGAGCAATGATTGGAGACATGGCCTAGTGAGAGAAAGGGAGCTGAGCACCTCTGGCTGGGAGGGAGCAGGGGACTAGGGGTACCTGGACTGGCAGTCCTGAGGGTCCCAGTTCTCACTCTGGGTTTAAACCCCCAGCCTGGCTTTGCTAGCCCCCATCCAGCCCAGCATTCCCACTGCGTGTGCTGCCAGAGTTCAACTGCCTGCTGCTGCCCCTGGACACAGGTGCCAGTGTGACCTGTCGTCCTCTGTGATGCCACAGCCAGCAGAACCATGTCACTGGGCTACCAGGCTCCCACTGTGACTCATGCCCTGGTATGTCCTAACCCCCAGAGCCACACGTCCCAGCCTGCAAGCCCCAGCCTTCGTCCCCACTGCTGGCCCCCAGCAGCTCCTGGGCATCCTCACCCTGAGTGCAAAGCCAGCCCCAGGAGCCCCCAGGGTGCTCTGGATCCAGGCTGCAGACACCTTAAAGCCACCACTGAAAGGAACATGGGGACTGCAGCTGCATCTGCCAGTGCTCACCACCCCTGACTGCCCTCTAGGTGAACCTAAACCTCACCTACTGCAACCTGAGCACATTTACCCTTATTGCCCATCCTGGAACGTGGTGTTCCTACATAACTCCTTTGCAGGGAGTGACCAGCTCCTAGCTGATCTGCTACCCTGGACTTACTGTTTCTCAGGAATGACTGTACTGGATACACTCATGAGAATCTCAGCAGAACATTTGCTTCTCAAGAGCTCCTAGGCAAAAAAACTCCACCAATCATTATTTTGTGCACATAAGGCTCAAAGGAGGTGCTCATAAGGCTCAGTCAGGACTCTGACATGAGAGCTCCTGAGCTGTAGGATTCTATGCATTGCTGTTCCCAGCTGCGTTTTGCTCATATAGCAAAGTTCTGGACAGGGGCTGCTGCTGACAAGGTAGGAAAATTCGGAGAAATAATGGTGAAGAAGACAACACCAAGAGGACAGACACTTAGAAATACAGAGCACAACAGAAGATCTCTGAGATGGTTTAATAAAAAATGCCACAAGCAGTGACCAAAGCGTAGAGCTGCTTGCAGCCACCACAGGGGTTCAGTCCGCTGCTGCTTTGTGTCTGATCCCTGCTGGGTTCCCTCTGCCCCCTCAGCTGACACAGCCCTGGAAAGGGCTGCATGCTCCGGTGCTCCCAGCTTGCTCCAGGCTAAATTCTTAGCTGCAGTGAAAGAAAAGATAAAATGAAGAGCCATTTTCTGTCCTGTCTGGAAAGTCTTCTCTTCAGCGCCACTGTTAGAGATCATCTCTCTGTCAGCTTGGCACTGTGCCTGCTGCATCCTCATCCCCATCCCTTCCATCGGCAGGAACTTCTGCACATCAGCACTCATACTGTCCTGCATCATGAATAGAGAGAGCTGTGTCAGAAGAGCAAAGATTGCATTTTCTTGGCATTCATAACAGACATAAGAAACATGAGTCACAACAACTGCTTCTTGGACATGATAGAAGATATTACATTCATACAAAATTCAAGTGAAAAAGCACTGCTGAGATTGGAATTTTTAATCAAATGAATTGGCAAACATGAGCTTTAACTGGAGCATAATTTGGGGTCCAGAAATTTCTCTAGTTTAAAATGAAGGAAAACAAAGAGGACGTTCACTGCTGTTGTCAAGTTATCATTGCAATTAGCCTAATAGTAGTCACTGAGTTAATACTAATTATTAGTCACAAATGTTGCAGGAATTGCTTTTTAGGCTACAGAGTGGATGAATTTTATTTTGAGAACATGAGAAGGAATGTATACATTGTAAAAACAATTCTAGCTCTGCACATACAACTTCTCAGTGAAGTTTCCATAGCCAGAAGAGGTGTCAGCAGTCCATGCAACAGCTCTGCCTGGCTGGAGTCAGAAATACTGCACTAGTCTGTTGGGCATTCTTAGAAATTTGACAGCCTAACATTACGGGAAAGTAAACATTACGGGAAAGTTACATATGGGAAAGTAAAATTATAAAGGCAACACAACAGGTTTGCAAGAACATGAGAGGATCAAACCATCATGGAAAAAAGTTAACAAAAAAATCCAGAACTTGTTGTATTTATTAGGTTGCTCCATGCCAAAGAGAAAAATTATAGAAGTCTGTGACTTTTCTAAAACTCACAAAGGAACTGCAGGAAGTAATGGTTTGCCTTGTAAACAAAAGGCCCAGAAAAATACTCGCAGGCCTCAGCAAAAACAAAATAAAAAATTTGCACATACTATTCAGTTCAACTCTGAAATTCCAGCACTCAGCTGATGGCACTAGTTTCAAAAGCATTCACACAGAATGTTCTGAGGGAAAGATTCAATGTGACTATTTCACGTGGTAGCTGTTTAACAGAATCTCCAGGTCAGGAAGCCAATAGACTGCAGGAATATTGTGCATCTGTTGTGCAGACTTGCCATCAGGAAAACTGTTCCCAGTGTCAACATTGCCCATTTTTTTGGTCAGGCAGATGAAGACTTCTCAGTCTTTCGTATCTCTCTTAGTCTCGTGTAGGGTGCCCTGTACTGCAGGGTGAAAACTGAGAGACCAAGGAATAATGGAATTCCCTGTAACTCACAAATTATGAGATGAGCAGGGGGGCACAATGTTGGCACATGGGGATCACCTCACTGAATGATTCTGACATCACCAGGGGATGCATTTTGACTTCAAAACCCACCACGTTTATATTAGTAAAAGCGCAGGCTCAGAGTGGCTCCAATCCGGGCTCGTGGAGCGCTGCTCCTGGTGCTCGCTGTGCTCGGCCCGCTAGGCCAAGCAGCTGCGCCCATGGGGACACAGGCAAGAGCTTTGCCTGAGGCCACCAACCAGACAGTGACACACGCCAGCTCCACGGACGCCACAAGCCCCGCTCAGTCTGTGCTGAAGGCGAGTTTCCTATCCAGGGTGTGGGCGGGAGTGGGCCCGGGGAGCCAGGGCACGCCCTGCCCAGGCCGCAGTCCCGCTCCGCCCGGCCTCAGCAGGAGTCGCTCGCCTGGGGTGCTCCGGCACTTCCCACAGAGGAGGGCCCCCGGTCCCCGGGACGGCTCCGCTGCAAGAGGAGACGCCGGCGCCCCAAACGGCAGCGCTTACGGTGCAGGTTCAGAAGAGGGGAATAAACTTCTCTTTCTCTGCCAGAGAAACTCTGGGCTCTGCTTTCTCTCCTGTCTCAGACTGGTGCTTCTCCCTGAGCCCTGATTCCCATTGTCGGCCAAGGGCCCCAGAGCCCTTTCCAGGGCAGAAAAAGCTCCTTCAGTCGTGACCATGGAAAAGCTTCTAGAAAAGCTCTGGGTGATACTTCCAGAGGACTGAGAAGTGAAAGGCTGGTCAGAGTGTGTACAAGTGTGACACGGGACAGACTGTTGGCTTGGAACATTCTGGGTACATACATGTGTGTGAGGAGAAGAGCAAGGCTTGGGACTTGCCTTTGTTTGCACCTGTGAGAAATGACCCTCACTTATTAAAATTTAAAAAAGTTTCTTAACCTACAACAAAGGACAAAATAAGGGTGCTTAGCTGCAGCCAAAGGCACAGCCAGAGGCACACCACCCACACCCCTAACAATCCTTATACACGCTACTGACCAGCCAACCCCCTGAAAAGCTGACCCTCCCCACGCTTGTGCATGTCACTCTTCCAATTTCTCCTTTGTTGCACATCTCAGAAACTGTGTGGTCCTTGCTTTAGCTGCCCCAATGATCAGAGATCAACTTTCAGTGTTACAAAACTTACATATAAAAACAACAGATCTCAACTTCTTTTAACCTTTATAACATACATTTAACATTCACGAGAGCCAACATCACACATTTGTTATAGCCCCAGTTTCACATGATTTGGAGTTTGGTTCCACTGAGCAATTAACTCATTGAGTACTGACTGGGCCACTATGCTAAGGGAAGGCTTCAGGAAGGGGCTGGAGAGGATAGTGCCCAGTAGAGGTCATCTTGTCCTACTAGGAAGTGTCAGGGGTTCTAAAATACATGTGTGACTTTTCTGCTGCCTCTATAGAAGTTTCTTTTGTCAATCTCTGCAAGATCCAGTGATGGATAAAATTATTCAATGTAATAAATTCACATGATGAAAACAAAGGACAGATAAAAGGACCCAGCCTCAGTTCATGCATGAGTGTGTCATTGACATTTGTATTTATGAAATTATCTGTCAAAAAAACACTTTTGTTGTTGTCTGGTGTATTATGAAAAGGAAAGGATAGTAATCAGCCTAGGCATAAAAAAGGTTAAAAATTTAAAATTCATTGATTGGTTGGATGGGCTTTTCATTGTTGTTTGTGTTTTGTTTTTTTTTCTGTTACACCTCCTTTTCTTTACCCCTTCATGGCCATCCAGGAACATGGTGTTCCTTTATCAGAAACAAGCCATTTGCAGGGAGTGACCAGCTCACAGCTGATCTGCTACCCTGGCCTTACTTTTTCTTTCCCAGGAATGAACTTAACATCTGCACTCATGGGAGTCTCAGCAGAACATTTGCTTCTCAAGAACTAAGCAAAAAATAAAACAAAACAAATGCACTTTTTTTGTGTGCAGAAAAGGAGCTGCTAACAAGCATAAGGCTCAGTCAGAGCTCTGGCATAAGAGCTCCTGCACCATAGTATTCCATGCATTGCTGTACCCAGCTGCTTTGTTCATATTTTATAGCCAGTTGCAGACAGGTCTGCTGCTGACAGCGTAGGAGGGATGCCTCAGCCTCAGCCACAACAGCTCATTGTCAACAATGGGAGCAAAAAGCAAACAAAACAAAACCAAACACACACAAGGAAACACAGACAACCAGAAATCCTTTTTTCATTTGAATTGATTTTTCAGGCACAATCTGTTTGCAGAGTTTTGGCAGACAAAGGGAATGTCTTTTGCACAGTGCCGAGTCAAGGCTCTGCTGCCAAAGCACCCATCAGCACATTGCACTGACTCATCACCAGCTACAGGTGTTTCTCCTGTTCCAAGGGAGCTGGTGCTGATGGTGTTCATAGCATTTTTCACCAGCTCTGGGTAGTTTGTTCAGCTCTCCAGCAGATTCTGTACATAATGGACCTCAGGGACTCCTCAGGGGACCAGAGATCATGAGGGAGTTCATGGGGAAGATGTTGGACATGCCATTGCTCTGAAGGGTTCATGTGGTGCACATGCCCTTGCTACCATCTCTCCTAAAGCAAGAC